CGACGCGAGTTTTACAACGGTTTTTCCGAATTGAAAATCTCACTCATTTTCTCTTTTTCCTATTGTCTTTTTTCAACATGTCGCACATTCAAAAAATTGAGTTTAATCAATTGATTTTTAAAATCCAATTTCATCTAATCAACACCACTTTAAGATGTACGATGAAATATTCGCCGTGAGTAATGCACAGCGCCCTTGCGAGCTATTGTATCCCAATTCTGTACCTCAAGCACACCAATTAGTTTTAATTCTTCAAGAAATTTAATTAGTAAGCCCGGTTTTACGGGTTGAATCCCGTTTACGGTTACATTGTGCATTCCAAAAAATTTTCTCCTGCGGGCAAATGAAGGACCACTGTTTGTTACTATGTGCATTGGTGTCTTCTCTGCTTGCTTCAGCACGTGCTTTGATGAATATACCAATTTTCATCATAAGCCCATTTAATCTTTATTGCCTTGTTAAGAATCCCGTTCAGATTCGAAGTTATTTTCTGCTTCCTTTAAAGCATTGTGTTGCTTCTTTTCTTCCAAAACTTACTAGTATGTACTTTGATTATTTGTGTCTAATGAGTCAATTCCATTGTTTTCTCATTTTCATTTTGTCTTTCTGGTAAGATACAATAGATTGATAGTGCGAATCTCTATGTCACAGGTTATCACTTTGTGTCATTTGGTTCAGTAGTGCTAAATAACATATTACGTTCTCTGGACGTGTTTTGGGGGCTACATCACCTTCGAAAAAATCGGACCATTTATGTGGTCAAAATAATCAAATCACACACTGAATTTGACCCACCGGTACTATATGCACAAAAAACTATATACATACAGTTCCTCTTGAAGTGGCTTACCAGCCCGCTGAAATTACAATTAATCAAATCAATATTTATGTTAGATCGTATTGTCGTTTTGTTAAATGTAGGTTTGTTTTTAATTGGTTTTCAAAAGTTTCACGACGTCATTTGACCCTTTTCACCGTTTTCCAAAACCACGATGTATTAATTGGTACTCAGCCAATATCCAATGGAAGGGGGTAAAACACAACCGATAAAAATATACGGAAGGGCATAATTTGTCCTTACGATTTTCCGATAACACCGAATCGGGACCCATTTTCATTTCCATGATGATATTTCATGCAAAACAGATCGTTCCAACTTTTAGGACATTAAAAAGCCAGAACCTTATTTTGAAGATTCCCAGATTTATATTAAAACCCAGATCAATTTATTTTATTGGCAGTGTATTATAACTACATTCAATTAGGTAACATGTAACTATGAGATAGGAAATACACATAAAATTAAAGATAATATTATTTGGAGATCGTGAGGCGCGATCTGGTGTGACTTATGGCTTAGAAAAACATTTTCTTTATCATGCCAACGTTTCGATCTTTATTGAGATCATCTTCAGGCCCATAACAGTACGTTCAGAGGTGGAAAGGTGGATGACATGAGAATTCTATTGCCTGAGGATTACAACTCTAAGAGAGGTTTTATGATTCAATTAGATCGACATTTACTCGAAAGTAGGATAGAAAGGATAAATCTTAAGAAGCTTACTTTAGTTAAGGCTTAAAGAGAATAGATACTTCAGATTTTCTTAATTGTCCGCATCTCCAATCCAATCGCTGGTTTCAGATCCTCCTAGATGAAAATATTTTTTTGTTTTATTCTAAAGGTTGTTATTAAAATTTATTTTTTATCTTGATCCACTCTATTCTACAGACGGAAATACGAAAATCACATTTTCATAAAAATATTTCGACATTAATTTAAAAAAAAGTAAAAACTACTTTATAGGTAAAGTTGATCAAAATAAGATATATTATTATTTAAACCTAAAATAGGTGAACATATTGTAACAAAAGTAACGTGTGTTAACATTTAAAAAACATAGGTTATTATAAATTCATTATTGCTTCTGGTATAATATTCATATACCCATTTCATATTAATGGGGATTAATAAAATACAATTTTTTAAAACGGTTTTACCATGGAGAATTATTAAAGGAAGACGGCATGTGTTGAAATTTTAGACCTGGTATTCTATGATAAGTTGTTTAACTATTTAAACAGACTTTGAAACATTTATTTAAATTTTTTGCACGCTTTAATAATATTCAAAAAGTTATTTTCAACCATTATATTTCGTGGTCCGTTTGACCAAATAACTTCTTTCAATTAATTAATATTTATGTAAGGTATTGGTAAAAATAAAAACGTCAGTGTCACGAGCGGGATTCGAACCCACGACCTTCGGCTAAATACGCCGCTACTCCACCGCTTGAGCTATCGTAACTTCGATCCACTTGGACAATAACTTCTCATCTCAACCCGTCCTTTTGAATTTTCCCTCCTTTTTGCCATTTTTCAAAGTTTTATCTCAACTTAAAATCTTAATTATTTGAAAAAATTCTTTAAAAGGTTACTGACGATCTGGAGAAAAAAGTTTATTTTTCCAAAAATTGCCTACATTTATAGACCATGCAACGAAGCATGTGCATTTATATAAGCGAAGGAATCCCTCAATACATATCCTTAAATAATACAAACCGATTCAGCGAAAAGCATTTGTAGACATCTAGGAACATCAGTTTTCTTTTTTTAAATTTTTTTATATATATATTTTTTTAATATAATGGATACCAGTAACTGGAGGAGTTCACTCCTGAGCACTGCAGCAACACACGACCTTCGGCTAAATACGCCGCTGCTCTACCACTTGAGCTATCGTGACTTCGATCAACTTGGACACTAACTTCCCATCTCAACCCAACCTTTCGAATTTTCCCGCCGTTTTTGCCATTCTTCAAATGTCGTTTAATCTATTTGATTCTTGGCGACAAATGACATGGCCACGGAGAGGATTAGTGAAGATATACTTCATTTAACTTATTACATTCATTATATTTAGTGGTCCGATTGCTCAAATAACATCTTTCAATTAATTCTTCTTTATGTAAGGTATTGGTTAAGATAAAAACGTCAGTGTCACGAGCGGGATTCGAACCCACGACCTTCGGGTAAATACGACGTTGCTCTACCATTTGAGCTATCTTGACTTCGATCCACTCGGACAGTAACTCTCCATCTCAACCTAATACCGTTCGAATTTTCCCTCTTTTTGCCAATTTTTCATTTGTCGCCGAGAAGCAAATATATTACAGGACATTTGAAAAATGGAAAAAAAAGGAGGGAAAATTCGAAAGGTTGGGTCGAGATGGGAAGTTATTTGGTCAATCGGACCACTCAATCTAATGAATTATTTTCAACATCAATTAGTTGACGATAAAGTAAATTTCAGGATGTAACTGTTTGTGACTAACTCTATGCTGACAAAGTATTAGCATTATGTGAGTGCCGATGTCGTTAACCGTTCTGTCTGAGGTGTTAAAATAAAATTGTAGCTGTGCAGGCCAACATGTAATTTGATCACTGCAAAATTGTACTGTTACACATTGTGTTCATAATGTTTAATTAGGAACGGGTGATCAATTGACATCGTTTCTGTCTTAATCGACCCGACAAAATAACTAGCAAGGCCGCTTCTGTATTTGTCATCTTTGGCCTTAATTACCAGCTATCTCATTGTGGGACACGCATTCCAGCATGACAAATAAAGAGCGGAATTGCTTATTTTCATCTTTAATTTTAACATCGACCTTGTTAAAAATAATAATATATCATACCACCAAATAGACCCTAACAAAAAATTGATTATTTGTACAATTGGCAAATTGTTGCTTAAGCCAGCACAATCTCAAAAAGAAGCTAGCCTTCGTATATAAAATCAATCAAGCACATTTAAACTTTACGTTTCATCTTTGTAGAACTGAAAAAAACAGAACAGCAATCATGTTACTATGTCCGTCGTTCTAATGATCTACATTAATATTTTTCCTTTTACGTTTTAGTGGTCAATTGACCAAGTTGCTTCTTTTAATTGATTATTCTTTCTATGTAAGGTCTTGGTTGAGATAAGAAAGTCAGTGTTACGAGAAGGATTCGAACTTACGACCTTCGTATAAATACGCAGCTGCTATACCTCTTGAGCTATCGTGACTTCCATCCTCTCGGTCACCAACTCTCCTGAACCTACAACCGTTAGAATTTTTCCTCTTTTTGCCATTTTATCTCAACCAAGACCTTACATAGAAAGAATAATTAAATTAAAAGAAGTAACTTGGTCAATTGACCACTAAATCGTAAATGAATTAATATTACTTTGTTTGAATATAAAATATATTTTGCATTGTATAAATTCACTTATCCACATCCTAAATGTATTTGTTAAATGTAAACATTGTTTGTAAATCCCAGGCCCTGAAGATGATTTCAATAAAAGATCGAAACGTTGGCACGATAAAGAAAATGTTTTTCTGAAACCTACATCACACCCGACCGCATCTCACGATATCTGAATAAATATTTAAAAAGTATCATTTCACGAAACAGCTCTCGTGGCCATTTCATAAATCGCTGAGAATACAATCCGATTACACGACATAAAAAAATGGGGGAAAATTCGAACGGTCGTATATTGAGATTGAGTGTTGGTGTCCGAGAGGATCGAAGTCACGATAGCTCAAGTGGTAGAGTAGCGGCTTATTTAGCCTAAGGTCGTGGGTTCGAATCCCGCTCGTGACACTGACTTTTTTATCTCAACCAAGACCCATATAAAGGATAATTAATTAACATTTTTACTGGGTCCGTCTATTATCGCTACTATCGTTCACGTTTACGCGTTTCCGCTTCACGCCGTGTTCAAGGTGGAACAGTGGTCACATAGCATTATATTAAGCCTAAACGCACCCAATAAAATTATTGGTGTATGTCTTTTCCGCAGATCACCTAAGTTTCATATTAATTTTTCCTCGCTATATGAACATTTGTTTATAAAATAAAGAATAAGGAGGTGAAAAATAAACAACAAAGGAAGACACTTTAGCAGACTAGTAAAATGAATTTATTACTTTAAAGTCCTGAGACAGGATTTAATGTTTTTTATGGTAACCCCATTTTTTGTGTTCCTCGTGTCCTCCCTTCTTCCCGTGTTTGTCGTAGTGTTTGTATTTTTCGTCATGGCCTCCGGCGTTGTTGTGTCCATGGTGATTGTGGTGATGAGAACCTTTGGAGAAGTGGCCTTTTTTACCTTTGTTATCGTGATGGTAGCCTCCATGATGGTGTCCTTTGTGATGATGCCCGCCTTTTTTGTGACCGTGGTGGTGGGAGTATCCGCCGTGTTTTTCGTGGTGTCCTTCGTCATGGTGTTCATCGTAAAACTCCTTGTTCTTCTTGTATTCGTCTAATTTGTGTATTTCGTGTTTGCCTTTTACCGAATGGCCTTTGTGATATGAATCTTTGTCGGCATATTCATGGCCTTTATGCCCTTTTTCGCCTTTGTGGTGTTCCTGGTAGTAGCCGCCTTCATCGTGGTGCTTATGTTTGTGTCCACCGTGTTCTGCGTAATTGTCTTTTTTGTCTCCTTTGTCATGGTGGCCTTTCTTACCCTCTTCGAAACCGTAGTTTTTTTTGTGCCCGGAATCGCCTTTTTCTCCCTGGCTTTCGTGGTGGTCTGAATGATGACTGCTTCCTCCCCCTTTGCTCCAATCAGAATCTGCGTGATGCGCGTTTCCGTGGTGGCTCAGTGCATCCTGCCATGAGCGGCGAACGTACGGGTATAAATCACAGTTGCACCAAGTGACGAGTACAATCAAAAAGAACAAAACCGAACTTAAAGACCGCATCGCGACTAACTGATCGATCTTTGTCCTATTCTGTTTTTATATATTCTCAGTTTTGTAACATTTTCCTATTGGATTCATCTCACTGGCCAGTGTGATAGCCGCTTCATTGAGCTTTGCACAATTGGACCTGTGACCTCCATTGCCTTTTACGCCATAGAACGTTCTCTTATATCTTTATTATTTTAAATGTACCTTACTCTGACAAAAAAACTAAAGTGAAGAAAGGTATAAAATTATCAGAAACGAGAAAACTACAAAAATTAAATAAACAAAAAAATAATAAAACAGCCATTATTAGAGGAGAGAAATCTTTTAAATAATAGAGAAACAGACAATTCGTAATAGTGTAATCTCTCTTAAACCCTTTAAATTCAGGTGCTAGTCTGCTACGACCAATTAGTTAAAGCTCCTCTGCTCCTGTCCACTGAATGATACGAATATTTTTGGTATGAGAGGGGAAACGTATCGTTACCGAGTAATTGCATGCAACCCAATTAGGCTACTTAATTTGCTTAAGTGGATGTGTGTATACCAAGTTGAAACAATTACAAAATAATGCTGTCAAGAATTTTGTCGAAACATTGTATGATCGTCTTGTACATTTCTGAAAAAAAAAAATCTAAAAAAGTATGCATTTGAATAATATTTCGGAGGACAATTCGGATTGCAACCAAAACCCACGTTTCCTGCAAATCCACTGCACCTTGGATAACTCATCCCAATGGTGTTCGTCAGGGTTTATGTCGGGAATACATACTGGCTATACATTGAATTCCTAATCACAACGTTAATTGCTGTGTAGGGCCTTGAATTTTCATACATAAAAATAAAACGTGGCCAATTAGTGGTATATAAGTAACAAATTCTTTTGATAACCATCTTCAATGTACCGCGCAGCTTTTAGAGAACCTGCGATGAAGATCAAGTTTGTGCAACGTTCTATAGAAATTCCTGTCAAACCATAAAACCATCTCTAAGCTTCGCTGGAAAGAAAATGTTGCGGGGACATTCTGTTCTTCTCCAAACCATCTCTTGGCTGTCAGAAGGCCTCAAACAAAACCCTGACTCACCCGAAAAAACTTTTTAATCCGATTCCACTCAAACCAATTGATGAGATTTCTTGGGAAACTTAACTGAGTAGATCAGTGGCTTGCCTTTTCGCATGTAAACCAACTTCTGAAAGTCTTCGCCTTACAGTGCGGCAGAATGTCGATTAAGGAGTACATTCGAAAAAATAATACGTTCATCTCTCTGATGTGACCGATGGCGACCTGATCCATGCCTTCTTAAGAACATCCAGTATTTTGGTCGATGTAAGGCAGTTGTTCTGAGAATGTTAAGCAACCTGGCCACACACGCATGACTTCTACCATCTTGCAACAATGCTCTGGTTCTGGCCGAATCTGGAACAACGACTCAAACAAATTTTGATGGTTCAACTTAAAAAAATCAAATCACCTGAACGTTAGGAAGAAGCCTTACAGAAAAACCAAGAAAAATGAGATTGACTATTCAAAGGTTTATTTACGAAATACTATTGTAAGTACAAACAAGTAGAGAGAGATTTTATCTGTTTATTTTTACTTCTAATCCTTCAAAAACGGACCAAATATTGTCGAAATATAATTAATGGAGGATTGTCTAAGAGTTAATCAAAAATATTATTGGTGGCCACGTTTTTTGCCCCTCAGTTTAGCTGAAACTTGAGCGCTAGGACGATGTAACAATTTGTATGTGTGTGGATATTCCGGCAACCTACTGACGGCATAAGGGTACGTTTACGTTGGAGCAGCGATAAACGAGAAAAGGGGTATACTAGCAATGCAAGGAATGTTTTATATACAGATGTAACGTTCCCATTTGATGAAACCTTAAAAATTATCAAATAAAAAAGAAAATAGTAAATAAAAATATAATTGAAAATAAACAAGGAGATATTAATTCCCTTCTTACAACAAGCCAATGGGAGGGGGGCGTCGGTGGCCGCAACGGTTTAGGCATATCACTGTAAGGTAAAGGTCCCGTGTTCGAATCCAGCGGCCTGGCTTTCAAACCCGACATACATAGAAATGTTTTTTTTTTTTTTTTTTTTTCAAAAACACCGCCACCCCTCGGATTGATATAACCTCTGCTGTTCTGAGTAAGAGTTGAACAAGTAGAGTCTTGCATTGGCGGTCAGTCTGGAAGGGCAGGATTGAGAAGGGCCAGCCAAGTTGCGTTAAAAAAAAAAATTAATGGAATCTATATTTCATTTTTTAAAAAGACGTTCCAGGCCTCGTGAGATGCGCCTTCCCTTTTAATTACCCTTTAACAGTAGTTTGTTTTGTATTTTTTTGAAAACTAATTATTTTCAATTTATTTTGGATTTTAGAATTAAAAGATATATTTTATTTTATAATATTATTTCAAAAAAATATTTACATAATTTTGTTTTGGTTTCTTTTTGCAATTATAATAAACCCTTATTTTAAAAGGAATTATTTTTTAATTTGTTCTTCCGTTTGTGACACAGGTGTATTAGAGCGGAGCTAATTTTCTGTCAATTTTGTTTTTGTTTTAATCAGAAGTGCTCGGCATGAATATAAACAGCTTAGTTAGTGAACTGTTTGATAGATTCCCCCTGTGTGATAAAAAAAAAATCATTATAAAAGATTAGTTTTCGACAAATTATGGAATGAAGAAGCTTTAAAATTGAATATAACATGTAAGTAGTAATTTTAATTAATATTAAACATTATTAATTTTTTTAAGTAAGAACAAATAATAGTAGGGAATTTAAACATAAAAATGTATAATAATAGTCGTAAAGGGCGTCGGTGGCCGCAACGGTTTAGGCGTTGTCACGGCGCTCATCTCTGTAAGGTGAAGGTCCCGGGTTCGATTCCAGCTGCCCTGCATTCGAACCCGACATACTTACAAATGGGCTTTTTTTCAAAAACACCTGCTCTCTGAGGGTTGATATATCTTCTGCAGTTGCGAACCCTCGTAAAAAAAATCATAGTATTTAAATGGCATTGCGACAAAGATACGTTTTAAACAGATCGAGAATAAGTTCAGCAGCTTGATTTGATCTTCCAGTATTACTTGGTGGTGAAAGATAATTTCTTATCATATTTCTTTGTGTTAGTATAACAACTATTTTCTCTTGTGACTGATTATGTTTTGAATTATCTGTTATAATTTTTTTAAATAAAATGAGGCTGCATTTATTTACCTTATGTAATCAGGTAGCCGCTAATCGCATAAAATTGGTCTACCATGGCAATTTCTACTTCTTTTATACATCCCATCATAGATGAGCGTAAGTATATAATCAAAGGTATCTATTCTTATTCTCATAAAATCTATAAATTTGTTGGGTGTAGCCTTAAATGTTTATAAAATCGAAGAACTTCTCCAAACACGTATCTTTGAGTACTTATAGTGTGTGCAAAGAATTTGGGATTTTTATTTGCAGTTTCAAGAATATAATATTTAACAGCATTTGAAGATGAAAGTATTTCTTGTTCAAAATCACTCATTTTTAAAATAATATTTTCAAATAATTGGTTGGATCTCAATAATAAATAAAACTTTACATACAAAACAGAGATCGTTGCTATTGAGAAAGTTCTACTATTGGGTTGTCCGGAAAATAATGCAGGATTTTGGTATTAAACAAAAAAAAAGAAACTAGTTACTTTAAAGCAATGTTCTTTAATCAAAATAATTTNAATGAGTAATCCTGTAAACGTAAACAGAATATTTTATATAGATTTTTTTTAATGAAAACTTAAAATCCTGCATTATTTTCCGGACAACCCAATATAAACTGTATATCATAGAAATGAATTTTCCACTGCTCTTTTCGCCGGCTCATCGCTTCTCTTATCATTTATCGCAGCTCCAATATAAACGTACCCTAAGATTATTTACGACAACATAAGTTTAAATTAGGCCGTCTTTCTAGTAAGGTTTCAGCCGATATTTACAATTCCATCCCATCCCTCGCCCATAAATCAGGATATCAAGTTGAAATTAAACAAGATCGACCGCTAGAAGGCATAGAAGGCCGAGTTATGTGGACAATTTTTTAAGATTTTTTTAAATGTTTACAAAGCCTTTATTAACTGCAATTTTAATCGTGTAACCTATAGTCCAAATAATTTGGTCATTACAGAAATGCCTCTTATCATCAGTGCAGATAAAACACAAAACGAACATGTAATTAAAGGAAAAAATGACAGACGAAATCAATTCTGCCCTGCTAAAGGAAATACCGTATCTTCAAATTTGACGACCGTATAATTGAACTGAACTAAGGAAAAATGGTGCTGTGCTTTGGGAATATCAAACTTTTCTAGTACCCTTCTCATCTTTATCATTTGTTTCTTCTTACTGTTTTTGTATATCTGACGTTTTTCGGCATTTAATGCTTTCCAATAACCGTCTTCGAATCATCCTGCTTATAACCTAGATAAATCTATGAAACCTATTTCCGCAGTTTTCTCTACCAACTTGTAATGAATAATCGTTTATAAATTGTTAATATATTAACCAATATCTTTTTTTAATTATGACGACTTACCGTTGGAGGTCCGAAGTCGTCGGATGAAATGTACAATATTCTGCAAGTGCCTTTAATCAGTTCTCTAGGAATATAAATGACGATAGTTTAAAGAAATCATGTTTTCTTTCATCATTTATTACGTCTTACCGCCTTCATCAATGCAGGGCTTTTTCACAGCCCTGCCATCACAGAGAACGAGGAAAAATGAAACAAGCCCATAAAAGCTTAATAGCACCCTTCTTATTATCATCACTATCATCACCAAATGCAAGATCATTTTTTACCTAATTCACGAATGTCTCATCCTAATTTAATTTTTTTTACTTCATAAACCATCAGATTTTTATCAACATTATTAAAGGTCTTTCAATTAATTAAGATTTTTACATGAGATAAAAAAGTCAGTGTTACGAGCGGGATTCGAACCCACGATCTTCGGCTAGCTACGCAG